GGGGGGGCAGGTCACATGAGGTCAGGGATCTGGGAGGTACCCAGATCCTGGGGGTCGTCAGGTAAGGGGAGGGGCGGCGGGAGGAGCTCCGGGGGCTGCGAAGAGGGCAGAGCTTTGGTCAAGGCAGGCCGGCATGTGGGAGCAGGTCAGGAAAACGAGTGTGATCAGAGGAATATGGCAGGCTGGACCCCGACGTCCTCTCCCAGTGTCTGTGCAAGGCTGGACCCGGGGGTTTCTTCTTTTCTTCCCACACCTCGTCCCTGAAGGCTCTGCCAGCTGCTCTGAGGCGCAGACCAGCGGGTGGGTGTTGGTGTGGGCAGCGGCGGACACGGTCTGGAACGGAACGCCTCTCGCGGGCATCTTGTTTACCACGTGGGTGGTCCTCGCCCGCCCCGCCCCCGCCCGGATGCCCTGCAGGGAGGTGGCCCCCGGTGCTGCACGCAGGGGTGCCTTGGGGTCCTGAATTCTTCGGCAATGGCTAGGGAACTTACACTCCCTGTACTGTACTAGGGTTTTCTGTGCACCCAATACCTGATCCTGAGTTCTGTCCACCTCCTCCTCAGAAATGAAAAATTGAAGGAGTGAATGACAAAAGTTTGTTGGTTGTGTCGTGGAGATGTTGATGGGGCACCGAGCAGAGGTTAAAGGGATAGACTCAGCCACTTAAATCTTGGGGAGGCCTTAGGGACTCCTGATCCCCTCGGGCTCCTCTTGGGCCGGGTCCAGGTCTGAGCTCACTGGCTGGTTGAGCTCACTGATTGCTCACTGTCACCGGGTCCTCTTAGGTTCTCTCTGTGGTGCAGAGGGAGGAGTTGAGGGGGTGTGGCCCCCTGTGTAGCATGATTAGAGAGTGGCCCATCTGGAATTGACGGACCAACCTAGTCCTATAGGTGCCCAAATTGGACTATCATGGGTGTGAAGTGGAGGAATTCCCTGCTGTCCCCCCCCCCCCCGCCTTTCCTCGTGTCCCTAGGGGTGGCTCAGTCCCCTTGCAGACAGACTGAGCATCACTGGATCCCAGGGGGCTGGAACAGGGGACGCTTCCTTTCAGACTGCTTACACCTCCCCCATTCTCCTGGGAACCCGGAGGTCAGGGGTCCTGGTGACAGGGATGGGATGTTGCTGGCTCTAGAGCAGGGTTTTGCTTTTCAATTCTAGGCTCTGATTTTCCTATCTGGGTTCCTTGCCGAGCTGCCTTAGCTGTTGCTGCCCCCTGGTAGACTGACGGCTGCCTGTCACCAGGGTGGCCATGGGTTTTGGCTTTGGGATCCTGGGTCCCACCTAAGGAGCCTCAAACTGCTGGGTTGAGTGGTATCACCTGGTTCTTCTGGGTCTAATCAGCCTGATTTCCTCATGTCCCCAGGACCTCAACCACCACCGGCTTGAGCCCTTCTGCCAGCCCCACCAGAAACAGCTGTTATACTTGCCCTGTGTTCCATCCTCCCTTTGCTGCTGCAGGTGACACTTTGGGGTCTGAGTGTGCTTCTCACCAAGCCCCATCCCTCAGGACCAGCCTCCAGGGTCACCTCAGGGCTTTTGCACCTGTTTCCTGCACCTTTTGCCTTGGGCTGTGTCTTCTGGTAGTAATACCTTATTTCCTGCCTGGTTAGGGCAGGGATTTCCAGTCCCTGCTGAAACAGGGTCAGAGATTGTGGGTGTTGGGCCTGATATTGGGGGAGGTGTCAGGCAGGGCCTTTTTCTGGAGCTGGAAGAGAAGGTACTGGTAATAACAACTTGAGGTGTACAAACAGTGGGGCCAGTGTGTTCGCATATACTCCTGAGGGAACAGTTTCACCTTTGTGTACTGATTCTTTGCCTAGAGCTAGGGGAGCAGCCAGCTCTCTAGCGACTTGGGCTGTGCTGCAGGTGACCAGCCTCAGACAAGGAGCCCGAGCTCTGTGTTTGTGAAAATGCGATAGCATAACAAGAGGAAGACACAGCGAGCCAGGAGGGGTGGGGAGATTTCGGTTGGGTGGTCAGGGAAGGCTTCCGGGAAAGCTTTGGACAGAATAATGAGGTGAGCGGGGGAGGGGCGCCGGAGGCAGGAGGAGAGCGCATTCAAAGCTTTTTGTTGAGTTTGTGCCAGGCTCCTACTAAGCACTTGAAACATTTTGTCGTCTTGTGGGGAGGAGTGAGGGATGACCCTGGTGTGGAGACAGATTCTTAGTGCTGTCCACAGGAAGAAGAAGCCCTGTCTTGGTTTTTTGGAACTCTCCTGCACCCCCAGATGAAGTTCAGACCCTTTGGCCTACATCCAGGGTCTTTTAAAATCTGGCCTCCTGGCTGGACAGTGGGGAACCCCAGCAGGCACTTGAGCTGGGCTTCAAAGAGATCCGGGTTTTGGTCAATCTGATCTGATCTGATCTCACAGTAGGATGGATCGGCAGGATGGACTGGGAGGGTTGGCCCAGAGGTGGTGGTTCCAGAAGTGTGGGGCTTGCTGGGTGAGGTCTGACCCCGCAGTTTGGAGCTCATAGCCAGAGAAGAGTTCTTGCCAGACCCCGATGGGACACCTGAGCTGTGCCTGGGGCAGTGGCTTCAAAATGTGGAGCCAGCTTTGGAGTTCTGCTGTCACCCTGCTCCCTCAGTGGCTGTGAGCATGGCTTCATGCTTGAACGCCGCTCCCCAGTCCATGGCTCTTGGGCCCTGTGTGTTGTCCTCACCCTTTCCTGTGCAGGAAATCCTCATTCCCCTTTATCTGAAAACCTTCGGTGGTGGCCCTCACCTCCCTGCACTTATTCCCTGGAGAACTCTCTGCTCGAAGTCTGGGCCTGTCGGCAGGCTGTGTCAGACTGCTTTGTATGTGGCTGCTACTATTCTTGCCTGTCCCTGCCTTAGCAAAGGTCTCAGTGTCCTTGAAGACTTGGGGGCCTCCCCAGTGCACATGGTTGCTGGTCAGGGTAAGCAGGCAGTGAGTGCTGTGGGGAGCTCTGTGGCTAGAGCCACCTTGCTGAGCCATGAGACCCTGTTCAAAGCTCTTGACCTCTTTGTGGTTTTGAGATGGTCTAAGGATGTAGTTGGTCTTTGACTTTGTTTTTGTTTTGAGACAGGGTGTCACTGTCTAGTTCAGTGTGGCCTTAAACTCACCATGTAGCCTAGGCTGGCCTGGACCTCATGATCTTCCTGTCTGAGCCTCCTGAGTGCTGGGATTACAAGCGTGCGCCACCAGGCCCTATGTAATTGGTCTTAAACTCACTTCGTAACCCAGGGTGACCTTTGTGGCGATCTTCCAGCCTCAGCCTCTTAAGGGCTGGGATTACAGGTGTGCAGCACTGTGCCTAGCCTAGATAGAGCTCTTGACCTCTTGAGTCTCTGCTTCCCACTCTGACAAATGGGGACAAGCAGTCATGCTTATGCTGCAGTGTTCTCAACCAGGGCAACCCTGCCCCCTCCAAAGACGCTTGCAATGTCTGGGGACGTTCTGTGGTTGTTCCAGGGCATGTGGGGGTGCTGCTATCTAGTGGGCCAAGGGGCCAGGGGTGCACTACAGCTTGGGACAGTGTACAGAGAAGGATCTGGGTACCTCTGCCCTGTGTTTGTTGTGAGTATTATACCCTGGGGTGTCTGCAGTGTGACCGGACACTGCTACAGAGGCACAACACAGGGACCCTCAGGGGCTACTGCCTCTTATCGCACAAAATCTGTGAAGTCTTGAGAGAAAGCAAGAAGCCCAGAATGTCCTTCCTGCTCTCAGAGTTTATAGTCCAGGGAGGGGGCCAGGGCACAGACGGGTACGACTCTCGTAGCTGGTGTCCCGAGTGCTGCCTGTGAGCTAAGTCCTAACCTGCCCGGGTTCTTCAGTTATTTTCTCCGTAAAACAGCTGCATGGGAGGCTGCCACTGGGAGCCTGTGTATAGTGGAGGAGACCGATGTCAGGAGCAGGCAGTGTTACGAACGTTTTCCAGGTGAGAGCCTGAAGTTTTGTAAGGGGTTTGAGCCCAGCAGGGTACAGTCTGTCCTTTGTGTCTACACGTTGCTCGGATTCAGCAAAAACCAGCTAGAAGATACTTGAAAAACTACTCTGTGCAGAATGTTGCAAACATGGGTTCTTGTCACTCCCTAGACGTCACAGGGTAACAGGTTTGTAGCACTGACATTTAAATGTTGGAGGTCAGCTGGAGGGTACTTAAGGTTTGTGGAAGGACGT